CTCGAGCCAAATCTGGCACGGGCCTAATTAGGCTCGGGCCAAAAACGTCCGTGTGAACGCGCCTTATAGTGTGTGATGACTGATGTGTTGGTGATGTTGTAGGAGGCTGAGAAGCTGCTGCAGGACCACCAGGCCTACAAGGAAGAGATCGACGCGTACGCAGACGACTACGCCAAGCTGCGTGAGACGGGAGAGCAGATCACTGCCGACCAGACCGACCCACAGTACATCTTCCTCAGACAGGTAGGAGGGTTGTTTACTATGGTATATTTTCCTCAGACAGGTAATAAACATGGGGGTCGTCTACTATGTTATATCTTCCTCAGACATGTAATAAACATGGGGGTCGTCTACTATAGTATATTTTTCTCAGACAGGTAATGAAGGTGAGGTCGCCTCCCACAGTACATCTTCCTAAGACAAGAATTGTCTTCCAGAGCACGTACCCCTCTCCCTCCTTTCCTTCTCTCCATCTCCCTCCTTTCCTTCTCTCCATCTCTCTCCCTTTGCCTCTCCTCTCAGCCTCTCTAACTCTCTTTCTCCCTCTCTCCTTCTCTCCATCTCTCTCTCCTCTCCTCTCTATCTGCATCTCCCTCTCCCTCTATCCCTCTCTCTCAGCCTAGCTACCTCTCTCTCCTCTTGCTCTCTCCCTCTCCTCTCAGCCTCTCTAACCTCTCTCTCTCTCTCTCTGTGTACTCGCAGCGTCTCGAGGCCCTGAACGACGGCTGGGAGCAGCTGCATCAGATGTGGGACAAGCAGCAGCGCTTCCTTGCCGAAGCCCTCAACCTGCAGGTGTTCCTGCGTGACGCCAAGCAGGCTGAGACCATCCTCAACCGCCAGGACAACTTCCTAGCCAAGGAAGAGTTGCCGGTGAGCAGTGCACGGGCGCGCAGGAGGAGTGGTCAGTGAGTGAGTGGGGGCGGGTGAGTGCGCGGGCGCGCAGGGGGAGTGGTCAGTGAGTGAGTGGGGGCGGGTGAGTGCGCGGGCGCGCAGGGGGAGTGGTCAGTGAGTGAGTGGGGGCGGGTGAGTACGCGGGCACGCAGGGGGAGTGGTCAGTGAGTGAGTGGGGCGGGTGAGTGCTCGGGCGCGCAGGGGGAGTGGTCAGTGAGTGAGTGGGGCGGGGCGTTAATTTGAGTGGGGGCGGGTGCGGGGCTCTATATCGTTATTTACTCTGTAGGTTTACGAAGTAAAGCCTGAGCTTACCTAATCACGACGTAGCCTGACGTAATTTACAAATGACCGTATTATAGAATATTATCATTTGTTTCAGTTTGTCGCGTGACGTAATTGTCAATGTGTTTAAACCATAAATAAAAATACAAATAAAAGATAAAAATAAAATTCTAAATCCAAATCTAATGTTAAACGTAAACATATGAATATATCTCGTGGCGTGTAGACTTCGCTGGAGCAGGCGGAGGCAGCGGTGAAGAGCTACGAGGCGTTCATCAACACGATGGACGCTAACGAGGAGAAGATCAACTCGGTCGTGCAGTCCGGACAGCTGCTGTGTCAGGAGGACCACTACGATGCCGACCGCATCTACAAGAAGACTGAGAACATGCAGCAGAGGTACGCTCGCTTGTTTTTATTCTTACCCGTGATGCACTGCTCCTGCAGCGGAGAGCGAACTCGCGCGCATGCACACTTGTTTATTTACTATAGTGCACCGCTCGTGTTCCGCACATGTTGTGCTTGTTTCTTACCCGTAATGCACAACTCGTGCAGTGAAAATGCACATTCGCTTTTTTTCTCGTTGATCGCCTCTCTCTCACTGACCACCTCCCTCTCACTCACCACCTCTCTCTCACTGACCGCCTCCCTCTCACTCACCGCCTCTCTCTCATTGATCGCCTCTCTCTCACTCACCGCCTCTCTCTATCATTGACCGCCTCTCTCTCTCTCACCCCCTCTCTCTCTCACCGCCTCTCTCTCGTTAACCGCCTCTCTTTATCATTGACTGCCTCCCTCTCACTCACCGCCTCTCTATCATTGACCGCCTCTCTCTCTCTCACCCCCTCTCTCTCTCACCGCCTCTCTCTCGTTAACCGCCTCTCTTTATCATTGACTGCCTCCCTCTCACTCACCGCCTCTCTATCATTGACCGCCTCTCTCTCACTGCCTCTCTTTATCATTGACTGCCTCCCTCTCACTCACCGCCTCTCTCTTATTGACCGCCTCTCTCTCACTGCCTCTCTTTATCATTGACCGCCTCTCTTTCTCTCACCGCCTCTCTCTCATTGACCGCCTCTCTCTCAACGCCTCTCTTTATCATTGACTGCCTCCTTCTCACTTACCGCCTCTCTCTCACTGCCTCTCTCTATCATTGACTGCCTCCCTCTCACTCACCGCCTCTCTCTCATTGACCGCCTCTCTCGCTGACCGCCTCTTTCACTCCCTCTCTTTATCATT